TATATAATTATTAAAATTTTTAATGAAAAATAAAATAAACATATGTGTAGATAATGTTATCTTTACATATAAGATGAGTAATATTAAATTAATAAAAAATTTGAAAAAACTTTTAACACTTTATTAAAAATATAATAATGCATATTTTTTAAAGATAATATAGTCAATTAAAAAGTTTCATAGAAATTGATATTTATACAGAGATAATATATTGATAATTAAAAGTGATGTCAGAAATAAGTTAGAGATTTAAATACATAAAGTAATAATAGATAATTTATATATTTAATTGTGAACTGGTAGAGTGATTTTTGTAATTTTTTATAAGCGTATAATAGGGAATTTGTTTTTTTTTTTTATTAATGTATTGCGCGGCCCATTCGGGAGGAGCCAAGCTGCTGTAACTGTAACCGACTGGCTCATTTTAGTAGATAAAAGAAGAAACTCCGAAATCGTGCGCGAGGAAGAATACTGCGCCAATGAATGAACACTGGCTTAACATATGTCCGCCCTTTAAAATGGGGTCCACACACTTCCCATTCGTCCAGAGCGTTCGAAAGAAGTAGTTGAGACTAGACAGAGCTGAGTAGAGAGAGAGTAAAGGTTATGGAGGGTCAGCGGCGTGAGCCGACTCGCATAATGGTCGGAGTGAACGAGTCGACGATCAATGGGTATCCAAATGCTTCGATAAGCAGCAAAGGAGCTTTTGAGTGGACTGTGGAGAAGATCATCCGCTCCAACACTAGAGATTTCAAGCTTCTCTTCCTTCATGTCCAAGTTCCTGACGAAGATGGTTCTCTCTCTCTCTCTCTCTCTCTCTCTCTACATATATGTCTGTATATTTTATATGTGTTCACTTGGGAATATATACGCGCAATCATGTGCACGTGTGTTCTCGAGGATGCAATCGTTTGATTAGGGTTTGTAAACTAGGTTTCCCCAGCTGATTTGTGGGTTTCTATTTTGAGGAAATGATTGAATGCTATTGCAATTGCACGGAAGCTCGAATTATTTGTGATTAATGCCTAATACCTGAGCAGAGGGACCACTATAGATTGTGAAATTCATAGAAATTTTATAGTTAACTTTATAACTAGTGAAACTGCTTCCGTAGTGATACGATGCACATCTATAAGCAGTAGCAAGATTTATAAGTTGAATCTTTTTTCTCGAACATCTATCCTGTGTGTTTGTACATATGCACGTATGTGGATGACACCGTTTGGGAAATTATAGCTGATATAGTTCTTACCAGGTGGGAGTGTATATATATGATTTGAGTTTCTGCCTATTTATGCAAACAAATTACAGTCTTAATGGCCCTAAGCAGAGTGAAGATGATTGGTTGAATTTGTTCTGAGATGTGTGGGGGTTTTGTTAATAACCTTGCATTTTGTATGTGCGGTTTTCATTTTAACCATTATGCAGAATCCAAATTTCTTTCCGTGAGAAATGTGATGTGGACAAATTTATATGCATCTTGGGGTTGTGCCAGGGAAGAAGTGTGTATTAAATAGATGCTTTTGTTATATTGATCTTTATTAGTGTAAGGCTCCAACATAACCATTTTTCTAATATTGTGTGTGTAATGTGTATGTAATACATATGTATGTGTGTATATTTCCTCCTGTATGTTGATCATTAACAGAATGAGTCTTAATCATCCGAATGAATATCTTATAGTTATCTTGATTGGTTTCAAGGATAAGATGTGTCATAGCATATATGAAATTGTGTGTGCCACGTTGCTTGTGATTGAGTTTCATCTTGTCCAAATAATGAATGGATAAAGTTGTGTATACCGTGTTGCTTGTGATANGTTATCTTGATTGGTTTCAAGGATAAGATGTGTCATAGCATATATGAAATTGTGTGTACCACGTTGCTTGTCATTGAGTTTCATCTTGTCCAAATAATGAATGGATAAAGTTGTGTATACCGCGTTGCTTGTGATTNGATGCAAATGGTGCTGCTCATGAATTAGCAAGATGGGGGCTCGCTATGGGTTATACAAGTCCACTCCAACCAGACCAACTGCCAAATTCAACAAAAGCTCAAGTGGATTTGGATGCACATTCCCTCCATGCTACATTAGGATGCTTTTAACTACTGTCTTTTGTTATTGTACCTACTCTTAAATCTTATTCTCATTTATCAAAAAAAAAAAGTTTGACTAACATTAAAATTTTTTATCTTTTATATATACTAGCAATGCACACGTGCGTTTCATNATGTCTTTTTCCATAACATGTCACAGTAATGTTGATTGGTATACACCTTCAACTTGACAATGTCTGGTTTACTCTTGCTGAACACAACCTCCTTCTGATGGAAGGAGAATCACATGCCAACTTNATGTCTTTTTCCATAACATGTCACAGTAATGTTGATTGGTATACACCTTCAACTTGAGAATGTCTGGTTTACTCTTGCTGAACACAACCTCCTTCTGATGGAAGGAGAATCACATGCCAACTCNATATATTGATAATTAAAAGTGATGTCAGAAATAAGTTAGAGATTTAAATACATAAAGTAATAATAGATAATTTATATATTTAATTGTGAACTGGTAGAGTGATTTTTGTAATTTTTTATAAGCGTATAATAGGGAATTTGTTTTTTTTTTTTATTAATGTATTGCGCACNTAAAATACCAAGATAGAGTTTATATAACTAATATTTTGATAAAGTTTATTTAAGTAATATTTTAATAAAATTTATCTACCAAGTCATAAAGATAAAGTTTACCTAACTAATATTTTGGAAGTCAAATAGGTATGAAGGACTGAAAAATGTGGTAATAATTAAGGGTGAAATAAAAAATTAAAATTTTTTCATATATGCTGATATTTATATGTATTATANCTGGCTCATTTTAGTAGATAAAAGAAGAAACTCCGAAATCGTGCGCGAGGAAGAATAATGCGCCAATGAATGAACACTGGCTTAACATATGTCCGCCCTTTAAAATAGGGTCGGTAAGTTCCACACACTTCANTCATTTGGAAATTCTTTAATACACCTTTGAGATTGTTTTATTATTATTAATAATAATAATAATATTTTTTTGGTCTGACTTTATTATTTAGGCATTCTGTTTGACTGACATAAAGGTTGAAGAGACGTTGGAATCTTGCGATTTAGCTCTAACTATTTTGTTATGAAGTGTAGAGGTTACAAAGCATCTATCTCCTGGACACTTGCACCCAACTTATTACAAGGTTCTAGCAGTGTTGCTTTTGAGTATACCATCATTGAGACAATCTTAAGTACGTATAAAATTGTTAAATGATTACTTGATGATTTGGAAACAAAACCATTGAAAGGTTAGGCAAAAGGGTTTTAATTGATGGATCTTTTATGCTATCATTTTTAGCTTATTTTACTAGCCTATTTCTTGAGAACGATTCATTACAGAATTGGCCGTTTCCTTTTTCTGGGAGGGCCTTGAAATTTTGATTTCCCACATTGCTTTCTGGTATTCGAGACAAACACTTACANAACTGTAACATACTTAACAATAATTATTTCTCTCAAATTCAAACATAAAAAATAGTACTATTCAAATACAAAAAATAGTAATATTNATTTCCCACATTGCTTTCTGGTATTCGAGACAAACACTTACATGGAATTTTCAGCTTTAGTCTTAGGCATTGGCGGTCTACTTCACATTGCTTCCATACCCNAAAAAAAAAATAGTAACATTGAATATTAATATTTAGAAAAATAATAGTAGTAACATGTTCAGTAAAAACAATAACGTGCTCAAAAATAATAGTACATGAACAGTAACGTACTCAACAAAAACAGTAACATAATAAAAAAAAATCGTAACATGAATTTGAATTTTACTATTTAAATTATAGTAACTTTTTTTTTATATTTAAATGTTACTATTTTTTTTTAATTTTACTATATATATATAACTTGTATATGAATATAGATAGATAAGAGAGAAATTTTTTNCACTATAGATTGTGAAATTCATAGAAATTTTATAGTTAACTTTATAACTAGTGAAACAGCTTCCGTAGTGATACGATGCACATCTATAAGCAGTAGCAAGATTTATAAGTTGAATTTTTTTTCTCGAACATCTATCCTGTGTGTTTGTACATATGCACGTATGTGGATGACACCGTTTGGGAAATTATAGCTGATATAGTTCTTACCAGGTGGGAGTGTATATATATGATTTGAGTTTCTGCCTATTTATGCAAACAAATTACAGTCTTAATGGCCCTAAGCAGAGTGAAGATGATTGGTTGAATTTGTTCTGAGATGTGTGGGGGTTTTGTTAATAACCTTGCATTTTGTATGTGCGGTTTTCATTTTAACCATTATGCAGAATCCAAATTTCTTTCCGTGAGAAATGTGATGTGGACAAATTTATATGCATCTTGGGGTTGTGCCAGGGAAGAAGTGTGTATTAAATAGATGCTTTTGTTATATTGATCTTTATTAGTGTAAGGCTCCAACATAACCATTTTTCTAATATTGTGTGTGTAATGTGTATGTAATACATATGTATGTGTGTATATTTCCTCCTGTATGTTGATCATTAACAGAATGAGTCTTAATCATCCGAATGAATATCTTATAGTTATCTTGATTGGTTTCAAGGATAAGATGTGTCATAGCATATATGAAATTGTGTGTACCACGTTGCTTGTCATTGAGTTTCATCTTGTCCAAATAATGAATGGATAAAGTTGTGTATACCGCGTTGCTTGTGATTGAGTTTCATCTGGTCTGAACAATGAATGGATAAAGTGGATTAATCATGTCTTTTTCCATAACATGTCACAGTAATGTTGATTGGTATACACCTTCAACTTGACAATGTCTGGTTTACTCTTGCTGAACACAACCTCCTTCTGATGGAAGGAGAATCACATGCCAACTTATTTGGAAATTCTTTAATACACCTTTGAGATTGTTTTATTATTATTAATAATAATAATAATATTTTTTTGGTCTGACTTTATTATTTAGGCATTCTGTTTGACTGACATAAAGGTTGAAGAGACGTTGGAATCTTGCGATTTAGCTCTAACTATTTTGTTATGAAGTGTAGAGGTTACAAAGCATCTATCTCCTGGACACTTGCACCCAACTTATTACAAGGTTCTAGCAGTGTTGCTTTTGAGTATACCATCATTGAGACAATCTTAAGTACGTATAAAATTGTTAAATGATTACTTGATGATTTGGAAACAAAACCATTGAAAGGTTAGGCAAAAGGGTTTTAATTGATGGATCTTTTATTGTATCATTTTTAGCTTATTTTACTAGCCTATTTCTTGAGAACGATTCATTACAGAATTGGCCGTTTCCTTTTTCTGGGAGGGCCTTGAAATTTTGATTTCCCACATTGCTTTCTGGTATTCGAGACAAACACTTACATGGAATTTTCAGCTTTAGTCTTAGGCATTGGCGGTCTACTTCACATTGCTTCCATACCCTTCCCTTTCCATCTTGCCTGCTTACTGGTAACTCTTTCACTCCCCATCCCTGGCCGCGTGCATGTGTGGGGGGCAGACAGTTCCCTTTATTCCCAAAACTGTAGTTGTTTCCCCTTTTATTTTTGATTATGAAGTCACTAGCTGATGGCATTTCTCTTCTGACATGTTATTGCTAGGGTTTGATGACATGGACAGTATATATGCATCTCCTGATGATTTTAAGAGTATGAAGCACAGGGACAAAATAAGGGGTATTCATCTGCTGGAGTACTTTGTAAACAGATGTAATGAGATTGGGGTATGAAAAAGTTTTTTTAGAGGCTTCCACTTCCGCTTCCACCCCTTTTCTCCTTCTCTACCACACCCGCCCGACTTCTAGTTATTTTTTGTTTGTCACACTGCAATTTGCCTACAATTAGAAAACTGAGGCTCAAATAAATTTCTCCACCGTATTTGATTAAACTGCCTAAGTTTATTCTTATATTGGAGTGCCTGTAGGTCGCATGTGAAGCATGGATCAAGAAAGGTGATCCCAAGGAAGTTATTTGCCATGAGGTGAG